AGGGAGGGGTGAGGGGACACAGGGAGGGGTGAGGGGACACAGGGAGGGGGCAGCTCTGCCCGTGGCCAGAAGCTGAGCGGGGGCTGAGAGGGTCCAGCAACTCTTCCCAGAGCTGCTGCTGATCCTGGGGTCACATCTGCCTTCCTCCCCTCTCCTCCTCCTCCCCTCTCCTCCTCCTCCCCTCTCCTCCTCCCCCCGGGCGGGCAGAGCACAGCCACACTGGGCACCCCGGGGCGAGCCCGTGGGGAGCCCGTGGGGTGCCAGCCTGGCAGCCCTGGGTGGGAGGAGGTTTTTGGGGAACTCCCTGGCCTGGGGAGCAGCAGCACCTCCAGCACAGGCAGCGCTTGCCCGTGGGAGGCACCTGCCCCACGCCCCAGTGCCCCGGGAATCAGTCCCAGGGAAGGGTTTTACAAGGGCAACACCCCGAAAAATCTGATCAAACCAGAGGTGGGAGGGCAGGGGGAGCACAGTGACCCCGTGCCGTGACTGGGGTGCATGTCGTGTGCTCCCAGAGGGACTCACAGGGTTTCCCACCGTGCTGGGGCTGCTGCCAAAAGAACCTGGGAATTCAGGGGTTTTACAGCCTTGCTGCTGCAGTCGGATGTCAGGGAAGGAATCACAGCCACCCTCGGTCCCGTGGGAGGAGCAGGGACAGGGCAGGGCCACCTGCATGTCCCCAGGATGTGCCCAGGGCTTGTTCCTTTGCCTTCTCCCCTGCTGGAGGGGCACCCTCAGGGTCTGCTCGGGGCATTGGAGCTGTTTTCCCTCCCTGCCTCCGTGGGCTTCATCCAGAAGCTGCAGCAGCCCGTCCCTCTGGGGCTGAGGAGGCTCTTCCCGGGATGATGAGACCATTCCCTGCACCCAGGCCCATCCCACGGGGAGGGCAGTGCAGGGCTGAGCCCCCCCTGTGCCCCTCTTCCCTTTGCTCCAGCAGCACAAACCACCCCAGGCTGGGAGCAGCAAACCCAGCTCCCTTTGCTTTAAATCCCAATTTTCTCCCCCTTCAGCGTAGGCTGCCGTGCTTGGACACGGGCCTGCAGCACCAGGGTGTTCCTCAAGGATATTCTCAGGGATATTCCTAGAGATATGAGCAGCCTCTGCTGCCCTTGAGATGGCCCTTCTCCCAGCAAAGCCTTTGCCCTTCGTGCAGGTTTTCCCTTTTTTTTTGTGGAAAGCACTGCCACCCTTGGCAGGGCAGAGTGGTCCTGCCCTGTGAGGGAGACCTGGGTTTGGAAAAGAGGGAGGAAGAGCCCTCTTTAGGCCTTGCAGTCGTGGGCTGGATGCAGAGCAAGGCTGGACCGAGCACGAACATGCCCCGACCCCAGTTTTTTGTTGTGTCGGGGCATTTTTTTGGGAAGATCAAAGACTTTTGGTGTGCAACCAAGTCCCAGATACTGAAAACCCAGCTGCTCCCACGGTGACAGCGATGTTGTGGAGGGAGAAAAGTGAAAGGTCACTTCTCCATGGCCAAAATTGGAAAGCAAAGCCCAGAGAAAGTTTCTGTGTGTGTGGTGTGTGTGGACAGAGCAGAGCACCAGCCAGAGGGATTAGGGAAGAAACATTCCGTGGATGAATCAGTGGGGCCCAGGCAGCCTGGGATTCCTGGGAATCACCCCGTGGGACCAGTGGGGTCAAGGGGGGACCCCAAAGCCGTGCAGGGGGGTTAAAGAGCCCCTGTTCCAAAGGTGCTGGTGGCTGCCAGTGCAGGCAGGTCCAGGCAGGAACAGAGCCCCAGGACCAGCACAGATGGGTTTTCCAGTCCATTAAAGAGAGGTCTGTGAAGGCTCAGCCTCGCTGATCGATACAGTTTCTATTTCAAGGCCGTGGAGCAGCAGTGAGGAACGCAAAGGGCATTATTTAAACATCATAAAAGAGAGGGAGGGAGGCAGGGAGGGAGCAGCACTCTGCCCAGCGCTGGCCTGGTGTCTCTCAGCCACAGCACTTAACCATTTGCAGCCCCTCAGTTGCACTTTAATACTTTTTATCTCTCTCCATGGTGCCAGGAAGGGCTGATGTCCAGCTGCTGGTGCAGCCCTGCCCTGTGCCAGCTCCTCAGCCACCGTGTGGGTCCAGCTGGTGCCCAGACTACTCCACCAGCCCATGGAGACAGGGCTGCAAACCACTTCCCTGGCTCCTGGGAATGGCTCTGTCAATATTTGCACAAGAGTCAGGCTCTGTGTGTCCTCGGGGGATTGCAGGGCTTGGTTACAGCCGCGGGGAAGGAAGGATAAAATCACCCGTGGGTGGCACTGGGCAAGTGAGAAGGTGCTGCTGAGCCTCTTTCTGCAGCCCCAGAGCTCCTGGGGCTCAAAGCCAAGCTGCTGCACCCCAGTTCCAGCCCTGCCCCAGGGCTGGGATTGCTGCAATCCCTGGGGGAGGCAGTGCCCACCTCGGTGGCTTGTGGTGTCCCAGTTCACCCCGAACAGCAGCAGTTTCCAGGCTGGGCGTTGCTTTTGGGCTGCCAATGTGTGCCCTCTGTGCCCAGCCTTTCCTCTTCCCTGGCGAGATGCTGCTGTCACCTTGGGGCATTTTGGATCCCAGGGTTATTTCCTGGCACCCCTGTGGACACGGGCACGGGAAGCTCCCAGTGCAGGGGGGGATGTCCCAGGGCAGGTCGGGATGTGCTCCCTGGGCTGGGCACTGCCCACGGTGCCAACAACCCCAAAGGAAAGGGTCAGGTCTGTTTGGAGGGTCTGATCCTGAGGATCCTGGGCTGGGGCAGGGGGTGGGATCCTGCTATGCCAGGCCACACCACACTGTGCCATGCAGGCTGAGCCAGGGAGCTTCTGCGGACCAGGATTTGGGATAAACCAGCCCTTGGA